AACAAATGCCACGTCACATTCGGCACAACAGCTTCAGCTGCACTTTAACAGGCCAGCCCCGACTGGGGCACCGAAGGAAGTACCCCCTGGCTGCAAGGAAAGCTGGGCCGGGCATCGCCAAGCAGAGCACCTGCAGGCAGGGAGGAGTGGTTGCATCCTTATTTTGGGGTTCAGGATTTTGCATACAGGGAAGTGATAGCTTGGAGCAGTGATGCAACTTGTAGCTCGAAACATTTTGGCGCTTTGCTGATGTCGCGGCTCTGCTAAAGGCCCACGTGTGGAAGGAACACGTAGGTTCGTCGGTGGTCTGACCCTTTAAAGTGGAACTGCTGCTGCCGGGTCGTTGGCGGAAGTGACTTCTAGAGTCTAGAGTGAGTATAGCAAAGCACCTAAGCAGCCCGTAACTATATATAGGATAAGCCTAGGCACGTAGTGAACTTAAGGTCACCAACAGGCCCTGCAGGGAGCCTAGGTCCCACATTGTCATCCCAGCACAAATCTAGAAAGTATTGTATGCAGTTGAAACTGCAACTCAGGCTGCATGGAGCAGGCACGAGTGCACCCGAAGTCCCAACTCACATCGTAGATGTAGTCCACCTACACCTTCCCGGCATTCATGCCTGATCAGGTGACATCGCGTGGCGGGCGAATGTGGGCGGGAGGACCTACATGCATGCAGCCGAGATAATTACCCAGACTATCTATATACCCATATAAAGGAGAACCCGTACTAGCTTATATAGGTGTTGCTGAAACCCATTCTGTACCAAGATGCCTTCCTGATCCAAAAACTCTACCGCCTGCTGGATCGTGATCCTCTCGTAGTTGTCGGGATCGACGTCACGGTCACTCAGCACGGGGAAGACAGCAGTCCAGAAGTCGTACTGCAGGGGGTTTAATGTGAGCATAAATGTTGCCCAAAAACACACATGTACACACAGAACTAGCACACAGTATGCAAAAAGGTAGCATGTGTGTGCATGTGCATGTTACACTGTATACATTGTGGCTCCTCCCACGTGCTGGGGTTCGCAAACTTCGGGGCAACGTACTGCCGGAACACCTTTTCGATGGCCGTGTACCGCTTCAAAGCATTACCCTGTGCCGTCGGCATCCTGCGGCCAGCAAAGCTCAAGCGGCGAGGGGCCTCTGCCCCCGACTCCAGCTCTGGCTCAACCTTCTCAGCAGCCGGCTGCTTCTTGGGCTTGCTCGCCGGAGCCTGGGCTTTGCCCTGGCTCTTGTTGCCACCACCTCTGCCACGGCCCTTGCACTGGGCTTTGGCCTTGGCCTTTGCTTTGGACTTTGCTTTGGCCTTTGCCAAAGGCTTGGATTCTGCCTTGCCGGTCTTGGCCTTTGCCACAGGCTTCGTCTTGGATGCTGCCGGTGTGCCATAACGGACCGTACCATCTCGAACAGCAGAGTCCTCCGAAGCACACTCCTCCTCATCGGGCTCCTCGTCGTGGGGCGTTTCATTCTCCGCCATCTTGGATCTCTTGCGAGGGGGGGTCTGAGCATCAGCCTCGGACTTTGCAGAAGCTTTGCGGCCTCTGCCTCTGCCACCAGCCTTAGCAGCAGCCTTTGCAGAACCTTTGCGGCCTCCTCTGCCACCTCGGCCACCACGTCCCCGTCCTCCACGGCCGGCCTCCCTGTCGGCACGAGCTTCGACGTCGAACTTGTCCCGCTGCTCCGTCCGTTTGACCATGTGTTCCTGCCGAGGGAATGCAATGCAAAACCCAAATTCTACAGTCTACACAATGAGTGCACTTTAAAGGTATGCATGCATGCACAAGCCTTCCCATCAAAATCCTTCAGCTCCACCTTGGATGGATCGTTCGGCTTCTCGGGCTTGGCAAGGCGTGGAGCTGGATCGTTCGGCTTCTCGGGCTTGGCAAGGCGTGGAGCTGGATCGTTCGGCTTCTCGAGCTTGGCAAGGCGTGGAGCTGGATCGCTGGGCTTCTCGGGCTTGGCAAGGCAAGGAGCTGGATCGCTGGGCTTCTCGGGCTTGGCAAGGCAAGGAGCTGGATCGCTGGGCTTCTCGGGCTTGGCAAGGCAAGGAGCTGGATCGCTCGGCTTCTCGGGCTTCGGAAGGTCAGTTGGATCTCTCGGCTTGGTTTTCCGAAGGCTAGGAGCTGGATCGTTCGGCTTCTTGTTCTTGGCAAGGGCAGGAGCTGGATCGCGGGGCTTCTTTGGCTCGGGATCCGAGCCTTTCGCCAAACTGTTCATGTACCCTTGCTGAACCTTCTCGGCATCATAGGGTTGGGTGTCGTCGTCGTCCGTACACACTGGAGCTCCTTAAAGAAAATGTCTCTAGAAATGGATTCTGTCGTACATAGCTAAGATGATGACTCGATTTGTGCACGACAACGACTCTTTAAGATGCCAGAAGGCCAGGCGGTGCAGCACCCGTGCTACCGCTGCTAGCTGCAGCTTTAGCACGTTTCCTCTCGGCCAGCTGCTGCCTGCAAAATTAAGGCAACCCCAAACCCTCCAGATTCAAAGGCACACAAACACATGACACCCTGTTGTTTGTCAGTATGGTGTATTTGCAGTACCTATTTAATGCATGTATGTATGTACATATGTAGATGTGTATATCGGTGCCTATTGTACTTATATATATATATGCATATGCATATGTACACATATGTGAATATGTATATATGTATATATATATGTATATATGTATGCATGTCTTTATGCATCTGTGTATCTATCTATATATATATATATATATATTTTTATTTATTTATATATCTGCACATACACACGTGCATACGGATAGACATTAACACATGCATGTTCATATTCTCGTGTATGCATGTGTAATATTCTATGTCACACTTCTTGGTGTGCTCATGCGGTTCTTTTGGTATGACGGCGCAAAAAAAAACCTACATTAGCTTGTCTAGACAAGTGTATAAGACCACATACAAGGGAAGACTTATTCATGTTGTGGGACCAACTAACATCAACCATGAATAAACTGATGTTTGATTCTGAGTCCTGATGGCTTCCATCCTCGCAGAAAGCTGAGCACGAATGTGCTCACGATTTCTGTCTGGCTTGTCATCGGCGAACACGTGGTGTTTCTGCAACTTCTGCATCTTCACCAGCTTCTCCCCGATGGGCTTTGCATCTGCGTATGATCGTTTCCTTGCAGCTGCATCAAGCTTCGGCGGCTCTGCAGGGGCTGGCAATGCTGCCTCAATCTCCGAAGGACCTGGCCCACCTGACGGTTCACCATCGTCTGAGTCCACCTGAGTGTCTTCGTAGCCGTCCAAGGCTACTGAAGCGGGAGCCTCCGCCCCACCAAGATGCACCTCCTCGATTGCTGCGGCAGGAGCCTCCTCACCACCAGGATGCACGTCTTCGATTGCTGCGATAGGCACCTCCCCACCAGCACGATGCACGTCTTCGGGTGCTGCGGCAGGATACCATGAGATGTGCATGCATTCTATGTATATGCGAATGCCAGGTTTTACGTAGCATGCATACTTAAGTATGTATGTATGTATGTATATATATATATGTGTGTGTGAATGCCATGCATGAGATGCATGCATGCCAAGTCTATGCAAACAGCACGGTTTCATGTTTCATGTGCAGCTAGGATCCTATAATGGTTCAGGCTAGCAGCTCGGGTCTCTGCACCCGACCGAAGGCGGCGTATCCCATGGGAAAACAACACTTTAAGTCCGTGGGCATCCATATGCACCAGGACCTGGTCCTTCGGCATATCCATAGCATTCCTGAAGAAAGCGACCTGCCACATAAGGCTGTTGAGACTACTTGAGACATGTTTACCCTTTATTTATTGAACTATAGAGCATCTAGGAGCCCCAAAATCTTATTGAAACATCCCGGGTTACGAAAAACCCAAATAAAGTAGCTTAGCATATCCCGGCCTCACGACGAATGAGCTCTATGGGCACGTAGGCCGGGATCGGTTGTGTTGGGCAGAACCATTCGGCGACAATCTCTAGCAGCCGTGCATTGCAAGCCATGGCCTTGCAACTGGCAATGCCAACTGTCTGCGTTGAAGGCCACCGCGTGATGTAGCCTTTCTCCCTGGCCCGTCGACGAACAGAAGCATCAGCCTCTAGAACATGTGCCAGGGATTGGTAAGCTGGCCACGTTTCTCTCGGCACACGTCTTTCGCCTCGAACTGATTCTGTCGAGCTCTCAGCAGCCGAATCTTCGCGATCAGCCATGCTCCCTAAAAGATCCCGGTATCCCTAAAGCTAGCAGGCTAGGACCAAAATGATCTCGGAAGATACCGCTTGCACTTGCAATCAAATCACATCGGCTCTTTCAACAGACTGCATCTACATTTCGAACACTTTAAATAATCAACACCTTCCCCTGAGCACCTCCAGGGAGATCAAAACGAAGAATGAGCCACCACCCAGCTGTACCTGCGGAGGAGTTGCTTCGATTATTGCTGCGGCTGAAGCTCCAGCACCGGATGCACTTAAGAACATGTGGTCACTTCTAGCTAGATTCTATACGAGTATGGTAGATCGAGGGCGCACAAGCCGATTTCGGAGGCAGCGGCCGCACATTGGTCACAAAGCGAAGTTCAACATGACATCCTAAAATTGGTCCCATAGTTGCCATGCTTCCATGCAAAGCTAGGAACGATTTCGCTTGCCTAGAGATCCCAGTGAACAATGCACTATTCCAACACATTAAGCCGATGTAGCCCGATCATGTTTAAAGCTAGACTCGAAGTGGCTTCTCGACAAAAAAGCCTGTACCGTCTGCGCCGGCGAGGAAATGCGGAGCCTGTGCACCCACTCGATGCTGCATTCAGATCAACCCCGAACCTTCCGAAAGCAAGAAAACCCCAATAATGCAAAAAGGTTGAGGAACTATAATTTTAGTTGACGACCCAAATAACAGTTTATTCCCGAAACAACTAAAATTTTAAGGCAAGAGGAAGGTCCAGGATTGTCTAATGGTAATTGTTTGGGCTTCTATATCAAGCCCCTGACCCAAGCCTTCGCATCACTCGACTCTCGATGTGCCACGGACGGCGACTGCATGTTGGCCTTATGAGACTTGGGATTTCGTTAGGGTTCAGAGGTTTAGGGTTCAGGGGTCAGGATTTAAGGCTGTCAGGGGCAAGGTTCAGGGTGTAGGGTTTGAGGTTATAAGTTGGGGCTTGGGGTTACGAGCTTGAGAACTTAATGTTACGCTGCTCTTGAGGGGTGCCCCTAAGCCCCCTAAGAGACCTCGTCGTCGCCCTACAAAAAAAAATAATCCTTCTAAACATTCGTAGACAGCGCCCTTTAAAACCGCAAGTTGCAGATACAGGCTTTCCCACAAACTCCCTTCATCTCCCTTCGAGGATCGCCTTTACTGGAGCTTAGAGAGGGCTTCTTTGAGCCCGCGGCCTCTGCAGCTTCCAGATCCCACAGCACCTTGCATGAAAAGTGATATACCGAAAGGGCAGGTAATTATGTCGTATGTACTTTAGGGGCCCAAGTACCTACTACATAGCAACTATAATGGTACTTGGAAGCTCTGCGTTATAGACAGTTCTATCACGACAACCTCTACAACCTCTTCTCAAGCGATGCGGAGTACTCCGGTACCTATGATTACCATTGAGTACCTAGACCCTCCATCTACCCTCTATTAGACTCTAACTGCCCCTTATTTGGGACCATATACCCCTATTTTTGGGAGGGTCCTGGTACTTTGAGGCATAATACTCAGGGCTCCTGCTCATCATTCATTGCGAACAGGAAGGCTGCTGTTCTCGGTGGCATAGGTGAGCTTGCGGCTTACTTGCTGTTCTGCAGGAACCTCGAAAGGAACCACCGATCTGCGCTGCGGATCGCACTAAGCGCAACCAGAAAGCTTGCAGTCGAGACACAACAAACCAAAGTCAAGCTGATCGCGGCCAGTATTATCGTGAAGGCAAGCCACCCTCACATTCCCAAAGTCCTGAATTCCCTTTCTATCTGAACGTGAGCTTGTGTATCGATCCATCTATCTCCCGCTACATGCAAATAGTAAACACAATTATCTGAAACTCATACGCGCTTGACCTGAACGTAAGCAAACAGATTATGTTTGTGTCCGTCAGTGGGTCATCGCACGCACATGAGGCTCAGTAATTGCAGGATTTGTTAATAGATAGATGCTCACATAATCCTACATACATACATCCATGTGTGCATGCACATATACCCGCATAGATACATATATACGTACATACATACATAAATACATACCTCCGACCCACCTACCTACCTTGCCTACCTCCCTGCCTGCCTGCCTACCTATGTACATACGTGCATCAAGTATATGCGTTACACAGTTGTCCTCCTGGGGGCACTAACAAGTAGAACATGTCTGTGGTCAGGATGGCTTCCCGAAGCGAGACTGGTCTAAGTATGGATCTGCAAACCATTGCCCTTAACTTAAGGTTGTGGCTCTTCGAGATCGCAGAAAGCAGTATCACATGCTTGACCCTCCCCCCCCCCCCTCAAAAAAAAAAAATCCACCCTGCCCGACTCGAATGCCCGAAAATCACTGCGATTACCAGTCTTCTCGAGGACTCATGTTTCTCTACGATGTACCCCAGTTACACATCAGGCTGAGCGAACCAGGCCCGGTGTCACATCTGGCAGCAGCTTCCAAACAAAAAGGCGAATACTGCTATTGTATCACTCGCACGTCTCAGCATATGGATATCCCGTACCCTCTAGGAGCACAAACGCGCTGCGAACCCGACACACCCATGAAACTGAGGCCTTGAATCGGTGCAACACGTGGGGAAACTCCACATCATCTGCGACCTCGGGAGGAAAACGAGTTTGGTCTGCGAGCAGGGCCTCTAAACCCAACACACTACCCTAAGGCCCCACAGCAGTTCCTTTTTGGGGTTCACATTTAGAATCTTATAATAAGGTAATCCCCAAAAGGAACTACTTTGGGGCCTCAGGGTAACAGGGCAGCTGACATGATAGACTCGACCCGTTCATCACTGCAGCATAACCCCAAAAATTGAATGTCTCGGAAAACCTGAAGCCAGCTCTGAGCAGGAACAACAATTCAAGCCACGTCTTGAGCCACAATTCAAGACCGTCCTGTGCCCGAAGCGACCAAATCCTGACCCCTCGGCTCTGAACCGCTAAACCTTGAACCTGAAAACCGACACCCTGCACCGTATATGATGGCACTGTAACGGTTGATGGTATAAATCCTGCATAACCCATAATAAGGTATATACCACAATTCCCATAGTCTTAGGTCCTTGAGGAAATGCAGGATTTATGTCTCCGCGGTGAGGACCAGAGTTGGCGGCCCCCCCCGTTCCAAGTCACTTGCTCTTCGGCTCCTCTACCATGATAAGGGCCCAAAAAGATATCCTTATTATGGTTTTAGGGACCTAAAGGGCCCAACAAGATATCCTTATTATGGTTTTAGGGACCTAGAGGGCCCAAAAAGATATCCTTATTATGGTTTTAGGGACCTATTCCATAATGGTAGTACTATTTCGCAAAAAAAAAACACATTTCCAGGAGAGTAGACACACGGCGACAATCAAGGCCAAGGCTTGGCATAGGGTCCTAGGCATGGGAACCAAAAGTTCTTATTAATCCTCTTGAGTCTCCTTATAATAAAGTCGAAGCATAATTCGTCAAAGCCCCGGGTTCAGGATTTGGGATCTTGGGTCTTCTGCCCCTTCCTGCTCAGAAATTACTTGCGAAACCAAGGAGACACTAAAACTTCCATGGACACTACCTGGACTGCAACAGTTTAGAATAATAGCGGTTTAGGGTTAAGGGTTCTAGGTGTTGGCAATTATTTTGCCTACCTTTGGGGGGCTTTTAGGCAAGACCTAATTCCGAAAACCCGAACACCGAACCAAGAACGGCACACTAAACCCTGAACCCTAAACCTCTAAAGCCTAAACTCCTAAACCCCACAACCCTAAGCCATAAACCCCTAAAGCCTAAACCCCTGAACCCTAAACTCCTAAACCTCAAACCCTAAACTCTAAAACCTAAACCTGGGAAACACCGGGCTCCGAGCCGGAGCCAAACTCCTGACGGTTGCAATCCGCTTGGGTGTGAAGTGTAGGACAGGGTTTAGGTTTAGAGTTTGGGGGTAGGGTTTAGGATTTAGGGTTTAGGTTTGGGGTTTGAGGTTTAGGCTGCAAAAATTGTATTGGCAAACAGCAGTATTGGTCCATTAGGATGCCTCACTCCCCAAAACACATTAGAGGTCAACTCGGTTGTTAATAAGAAAACAGGATCGCCCTGCTGTTTGTTCTCATGGGGCTCCATTCTCACAAGGACGATTCTACAAGGACCCTACATAGGAACCAACGCAAGAACAACTCCAAGTAAGGTTTGAGCGTCGCAGATCTTGAATCGAATCCTCTTTTCAGAGCGCAGGAACCAAACAGTGTTACTACAGTGTTGGGGGCACAAGCACTAAGCCTGAACCGAAACAATGAATGTTGTAAGTCCTGAGCCGCTACGCCGTTGACCTTTAACCCTGACACCCGAAGCCTATAAACCCTAGTTCCTGAGTTCTAAACCGCACAGTGTGTCTTGCCGAAGGCTAGGCGGTGCCTACAGTCGGTCGCCATGAGTCCCAGTCCCAAGGCCTGCAGCAAGTAGAGGTGGTTGCAACACATGAGGGCTCTGTGGACTTCTCTGGTCTAATGGTAAGTTATAGTACATTAAAATGCTTCCAGTATTGTATATAATTGTTATAAGGTTATAGTTATTGCATATGTAAATATCCACATATGTATATGTATATATATATACATAGAGAGAGAGAGAGAGAGAGAGAGAGAGAGAGAGAGAGAGTCTAGTCTAGTGCCGTAAGTTGTAGAATCGTGTAGGAGGGCTTCAGGTTCTCGGGTTCAAGGGTTTAGCATTTAGGCTTTCGGGAAGGTTGGTTCAGAGTTCAGTGCACAAGCGTTGAGGAATAAGAGTTCAAGAGTTCAGGGCTACTGCAGGCCCCGAACCTCCCCTTTGAGAGTGCAGGGTTCGTGGTTTCGGTTTAGGGTTTGAGGAAACCCGAATCCCCAACCCGGGAGCCGTCTCGCCTTGTTGGATCTTAAATATAGTTTAAAGTTGAATTGATTGAACCAAAAAAGGCACGAATATGGAGACTATAGGTAAACCCTCCGTCCAACCCGAGAATAAGGCCAGCATGTAAGCCGGAAACCCTTCCCAAATTCTCGGTATATTCTACCGACTCTACTTGTAAACCAAACCACCCACCTTTCCTGCAATGCATCACAAACGTAGGTTGTTTTGGGCCACATCTATACCATAAATCCCGGGAAGCACGCAGTCTTGAAACTCGCTACATCCACAAAGGGGCAAAGCCAAAGCCACCTGCGAGCCGCTGGTGCAGCGGAAGGCTGCTAGGCTCCGCTCAACAGCAGAGACCTGACCGTTTTCGTGCTTCGGGAAAAACACCTCTAAGAGCTGAGGGTTAAAAGGGGCTTGGTTAAATGGCCTGGACTCCGGATCCTGAACCGTAGGCTTGAGGCTCTATAAGGGCTCAGAATTTATTTCTTCGGGCCCGTGTGAATTTTGGGTTGATTGACGGCGTTTTCGTGGGATGTCGTAGGGTATGTTCATGTGGGTGGTTGTCAAAATTAGGGTCCCTTTTTGGGTACCCTAAATATTAGGTGCCGTATAATATTAGGGACCCAAAAACGGACCCTGATTTTCACAACCACCCATGTGGTTGGCACTCGGGTCACTGAGAAGTTCAGGTCGCTGCAAGCACTTGGGCAACAAACTCGGTGTAGGGTTTAGGGTTTAGGGTGCATAGGATTGAAGTCTTAGCACATGTTAGGTTTACCAATCTTACGGCTTTGGGCAGAGTGTAGGCCTTCGGGGGCTAGACGGACTGTGGGTTGCGGCTTGACAGCCCTCAAACCCCTGAAAGTCCAAGTATACAAATAGCACCTACGTTTGGCTACTTGGGCCTCTGAAGTCAATAATTAAATGGTACCTACTTCTGGGCCATGTGGAGTCTTTGGGAAAGGTTCAGAGCTGAGGTATCCGGGTTCGATACCTCTAGCACCCTGAGCCCGAAGTTCGAAAGTAAGGAAGTAACGCATTGTAAAGACGACCCACTGTAGTGCTAAGTGCCAGAGGGGCTAACAAATAGAATAAGGCTTTGGGTATGTGTGTATATATATATATAAGGGGATGTGATTACTAGAAATTCCTACCCCCCCATACTATACTCTTGCCATACAACAGCAGGCCAGTCACAAGGGTGCTACTGCAATCAAGACGCCAGAGACCCTTCTCCTTGTAGAACCGACCTTGGTATGGGATCGCCGCAGTCAAGTCGGAGTCAGATGTTTGAGGCGTTTACGTTCTGCCCTCAGTGTAAGGATTACCATCTGGGGGAGTTGTCTCTTCTTCACTTTCCGAAGGAACCTCCTCGGCAACGTTGTCTTGAACAGTTGAGGACCATTGAGACGACCTACATTATGCTTGTTACCAACTGCCGCTGGGACCATCGTCCTTGTTATGATTGCACTACAATAGTACTGCCACTTAGCTGGGCTGAGTGATTTCCACGATTATGCCCCAGTGTACGTCGCTCTTCCATGGCATTGGTGTCGCTTCGGAGTGGTGGTGGTGGTGGTGGTGGTGGTGGTGGTGGTGGTGGTGGTGGTGGTGGTGGTGGTGGTGGTGGTGGTGGTGGTGGCGGCGGCGGCGGTGGGGGTGGTGGTGGTGGTGGTGGTGGTGGTGGTGGTGGTGGTGGTGGTGGTGGTGGTGGTGGTGGTGGCGGTGGTGGTGGTGGTGGTGGTGGTGGCGGTGGCGGTGGCGGTGGCGGTGGCGGCGGCGGCGGCGGCGGTGGCGGTGGTGGTGGCGGTGGCGGTGGCGGTAGCGGTGGCTGCGGCGGCGGCGCTACTGCTAGTTTCAACAGAAAGTCATGCTTTCAGGCGTTATGTTCAGAAGTCCTCGTCGTCCTGGTCGTCGTAGTGGTAGCGGTCGTGGTAAGTGGTATGTAGTAGGTAGCAGGTGGCAGACAGCAGGTGACACGTGGAGGGGGAAAGGGGTAAGATATGGTAAGATGGGGCAAGGGCAGTGGAAGCCGTCGTCGTCGTAATCTTTGTAGGTGTAGATGATGTAGAAGCAGCGGTAGCAGCGGAATACGAAGCTGTGGTTATTCCTGCTGCTACAGTAGCACAAGCTTCGAACCACATGAGGCACCAACACTGCATCCTGGTGAGCGATGTCTGCAACAGCCTCCGGCAGATTCACAATAGGATCCATCTCAGTCTCAGAGCTCAGCATTAGCTAGGGACTACACCCAAAACCTTAGCAGTTTAAGCCCTGAATCAAATCTAAACCTCAAACGACAGGGTTAAGGATGTATTCAGAGGGTCATGTGGGTTCATTGATCTTTGACTTGAAACTCTCATATGAAGGGAGAAGCGTGCTGAACGACCCCGACACCCCGACATGCATCTTCCTCCCATGAAGTATGTTATAAGCTTCCACTGCAGGCCGTGCCTGCGCCAGTTGGACTGGTGGGCTGGCAGGCCTGGGCCAGGTTCAAGACACGCTACCATAGCGAGCTTCAGAAGTAGAATTGGTTTTCAGGGTATACCCATTCAAGGGACTATAAGAGAAGTACGAGTACTTGATGTTAACAACCTGTCTATGTCTTATGCTCGAGGTGCCTGAGTTTTTTGTGTTATCCGAAGGAGTCTCATGCGTCAGCTGCCCGGCGGCTGCGTGGATGCATCTGAAGCTGAGAACTCGTGACTCCCGATGCTAGCTAAGATCTCAGATCAACCTGTTACCGTGGAATTGTGGAAGCCTATAGTCTAGAGGATGTGTCAAAGGGGAAAAGGAGGTACCTTTCATGGGGACCCCTACCCTATAATGGGCTATATAATGGGTATATAATAGCTATATTAAGGGTATATCCCTAGGGGTCCTTATTCAGGGTTTCAGGGTCCCTCCGTATACCCTTTGAATGTGGAACCCTACAAACCCTGAACAATATGCTGCGCTGGGTGGGGGCTTCTACTGGAGCGCGTACAGCACAGCAGCAGGCACAGCGGCAGCGAACGGATTCCAAAGGAATGTTTGTCAGGCAGTACTGCAGAGTAGGGCCTTTGGGGCTCGAGGCTGCAGACCAGTAGCACCAACAGGAGATTTAGGGAACACGGAACGACCGGTCAAGAAAGTAAACAACAGAGAAGGACTTTCGTAGTCCCGTACTGCCCCCCCAAAACTTCAACACCAAAACCAAAACAACTACACCCTAGGCCCTATATGTTTCGCTTAGGCATTTGGTCTGAGATGCCGTGGACCCTCTACTACTACAACAACAACTACTACTACTACTACTGCTGCTACGGCCACCACCACTACTACTACTACTACTACTACTACTACTACTACTACTACTACTACTACTACTACTACTACTACTACTACTGTTTACTACTGCTGCACCTACTGCTACTACTACTACTACTACTACTACTACTACTACTACTACTACTACCACTACGACGACGAAGACCAGGCATCCGACGCTTCGGAACCCGGGCGCATCTTCTTGGCTCTTGGCCTTGGCAGAGGAGGCCGAAGCTTTGGGCTTTTGGGGTTTCGGCACGGTTGGAGGGTTCAGGGTTTAGGGTGATGGTGTGAAGACTTTGTGAACAAGAACTGGCACAATTCTAAGTGAAGCGGTTATAGGGAGACTGCTGTGCTCACTTTTGTGCCTGCGTACAGCTATGTTTAGATGCAGCGACCTGCGAAAGAAATACTTCCATACCGACACGCGGACGTGCGTACTTGATGACATCATAGGTCCTATGTCATAGGAAGTAGGAAGTCGGCAATTTATCTGTCAGCCGACCGACCTATCTACATATTTACGTATGTATTCAGGTAAATGCGTGCGCACACATGCATACATACGTACCAAAAGGGTTGTATACCTGCATATGTACATACATGCATACGTGCGCGCTCACGCACACACATGCCTCCGTGCATGCATGCAGGCATGGACACACGTACACATGCATAACAAGCACACAGACCCATACAAGGCCTACCTACATAGAAACCTGCATACATACACTTGCATGCAAGCATCAATGTACATATGTATGCATGCATACATGCATGCATGCAAGCATGCATAATATGTGCATACATGCACGCACACATGCATACGTGCATGCATGCAGTCATGCAAGCATACACATGTACATTTACATGTACACCTACACTCACAAGTACAAACAACACATACACATACATACCTGCGTACGTCTGTGCATGCATGCCCACATACTTACAGACGTACACACGTATCGTACACACATTCATGGACCGATGCATGATCTCCACATTGTCACTGCTCATGACCCTCCGCTCTCGCCTAGGCCCCTTGCTACTTCCTCAAAAACCGGCGCCTCAAAGTTAAAGCACAAAACGAAAATCTGCATTCACAACACGCGTAGTTGAAGCAGATTAGCAGTCAAGACACATGAGATTTTTTCCGCCCATGTCCCAGACCACGGGAACCTCACCGGGACCCTGCACAGCCTGGTGTTTCGTGGATGGTTGTACACACTGCGCCTGGCGGTATTTCAACATTATGGGGCCGTCTGAGCACCCAAAACAATAAGCAAGAGCGCCCAAGGGGCTCCTTAAACCAAAAAAACAAAGCTGCAAAGCCAGCCGTTGGCTGAGCTCCGGGCTTGGCTTTCGGCGCGATCTCGGGAGGCGATGTCACGCTAGCCCTGATGGCTGTAAGGTTTAGGATGAAGGGGCATTTAGGGGTGAAGGGGGTTTAGGGTTCCGATAGTGTGAGTTTACGACGCTGACCGGCGAAGTCGCGCGAGGGCAAAGTAGACGGGGCCATCATCAGCGTCTGCTGCGACATCACCTTCTTGCTCAGCACCATCATGAACACAACAACGAGAGTAACGAGGCTAGGGCTCTTCGTGGGCGGCCGTTGACATATGTTCTTGTTTCGTCTTCAGCATCTCATCCGGCGAACAAACACATAAAACAACGCTCCACAATTGAATTCTGGATCAAACCAAGACAGGTTACTTCGATGGATATTTAACCTGGACTGACGCCCACGCGAATGTTGGGCCGAGAAATTGTTGAGGCAGGGTAGCTTCTACCCTCGCCTAGATCCGATCGTGCCTATGCCCTAAGCGCGCTCGTAGGTCGCCTTAACCCCGGAACCTAGGATGTTCCCACATCGATGGATCTAAACTCAAGAATCCCCTTCCTTCCCCGTGCTTCCAAAACTCCTTCATGGCAGCTGTGAGACAGAGACCGGAACGAATCGTATTGAGAACCTATGTAGTCCATGTACAAGCCTAGTATCATGTGAAAATATTCCGCGGATCCCTTTGCAACTTTGAACCCTTATAGTATCCTTGTACTCCATCATGGCACAGTAGTAGTATATATGGACCCACTGAATATACCGCGAAACCCTCTTTGTACGTTTGAACTACACGACCCTAAACCCCTAAACCCCTGCAAACCCTAAACCCTAAACCCCAACCCTAAACCCTAAACCCCAACCCTAAACCCTAAACCCCAACCCTAACTTTGAGCTACAAGCTTCCCCACCTCCGCTGAACCTTCATCGTCTCCAAAGCTCGTGGCAGCAAGGCCTCACAAGGCATTTTCAGCTTCTACTATAGGGGTCTTAATAGTTAGAGTCGGCAGTCTTCTTTCAGCTTCTACTAAAGGGGTCTTAATAGTTAGAGTCGGGCTCCCTTTAAAAGGGTTCTTCAAAGGGATCTAATGCAGGGTTCTGTGTCTTGATAATTAGAACAGGGTTTAGGGGGCCACTATACTCGAACTATGATAGTGAGGAACACCCTAACGAGTATAGGCAAGTTTTAAGGCCCCTACATTATTTGCGGCGCTTGGGCGTTGAGGTACACAGGCATCTAGAACTCTGCGTGGCTCGGCGCGCAAGAGTAGTTTCTACAGCGCAGTCTCTGAACTCCAATTGCCAACAGCTGAGTCGCCACACACCACACTGATACTGTATCAACAGTGCCACCGTGTTGCAAATATGTACAAGTTTTACCACACTTGGAATTACGTGTGTGTGTGTGTGTGTGCGTGGGGTGCAAACGCATGTAGGTCTATGTGTGTAAATGCGTATGTATGTATGTATGCATGTGTAAGGGTTTGGGATCGAGCGGCCCAGGAGAGGGCTAGCATTGCCCACAGCCCCAGGTGCCTCGTAGGCACGCCAACCTGAGCCGCAATAGTTGCCTCACCGCCGTGGCATCGGAGGCAACGACTCAAGCGCGCTCGTGCTCGTCGCTCGATCTGGGCGGCTCGAGCCAGAGGCCAACCTGGACCTGACAAAGCTGTCAGGCTGCTACAGCAACACCACACCAGGCCGTGCTACCGAGAGTTGATGGGCCGGGGACACCGTGAGGGTGAATGGCGACGATGGCCCAAAGGATCTGGTGGCGATGCTGGTGGGTGGCATGGTTATCGGTCCGAGGACAAGTGGAACCGACAACGTGGAGACCGAGAAGCACCCCGGCACCCAACCTTGGAAACAGTTGTGGTGCCCCAAGACGACAGAGCTTTGGCATCCGGCTCTACCAGCAAGAGTGCTGGGACAGTGGCGGCGGCTGCGGCTGGAAGCTTGGTGAAGGGAGTGCAGCGCCAGGTGAACACGGTCCGAAAGTGCGAGACCAAGATCCGCAAGAACGAGGCGGACTCGAAAGATCTGGAGCAGCGTTGGGCTGCCTTCAAGGAGGAGATGAAGGCCAACTTCGTGAAGGAGAGGAACAAGTACAAGGAGCGACAAGCGGCCTTGGAAAGCGAAGGACAGGAACAAAGGGAGGCCCTTGCGGATGCCCTTGTGGAGCTACAGACGGCCATTGCCAACGAGGAGGAGAGCAAGCCGGTCAAGCCAGATCCTGGACAGATGGAGGCCGAGGACGAATGGGACAAGCTCCTACGATCGCCGGAGCCGGACAGTCAGGGTTTGTCTGGGTTGCTGGACGCAGCCTTGAAACTGGCCTCGACTTCTCGCAAGGATGCCAGGACCAAGCTCCTTGCGGCTCTGGCCGAGAAGCAGGATATGATCAGCACGCCGCCGAGGAGGACCACAAGGCTGCCAGAGCATACACCCCCGGAAGACGATCGCCGACGACGGAGGACCAGCCCGGTAAGCATGGATGTGGAGATCAAGGACGAGCCGGCAAACACCTACAGTGGTGGAGCTGGGACTGGGCCACCGGACCCGTACATCAAGTCTCCGTCTACCCGTGCCAACATTCCGGAACCGAGCCACCGATCCAGACACAGCCAACCGAGGATGGCCGTCAAGCAGGTTGGCCGCACTCCGAGCTCAACACCCTTGAGAGGGACCTCGCTATCGGAAAAGTTGGAACAGCGAAGACGGGGTGCACTGGAAGAACTGGATGTGCTCTCCTCCGAGGAAGAGAAGGTCGAGGAAGATGCCACCAACAATACTGGCGAGACGTGAGCTACCTCGAGCAGAGGAAGGGCGATGCTGGCGGTGATGCCGAAGTGCGTGAACCCAGGCTGATCGACCCGACAAGGAATATGAAGTATGATGATCGAACTACCAGGCGGAGTACTGGGATGCACAATGGTATGGGCAGCTTTTTCGGCCAGTCTGCCACCATTGTCGATTTTGACATTACTATGAACGCAGGGCCCAATGCAAGCCCCGGGCGTGGTTCCTTTGAAGAGGACAGTGACAGAATGACATGGAAAAGGGCATATGATGTGCTTGATTACGTTGAGTTCTGGAATGATCTGGTATGGGACTATCGATGGTCTATGATGGAGGCTCTAAGGGAGGCTGTTGTCCCAGTGGGAAGGACAATGTCCCTTCTCTTGACTGTATGTTTGCTTGACCTCTACCGAAGAGGTATGAAGAAAACATGCCAGCCTCGACGAGTTGCACGCGGCAGAGTGATGCATGGACATCGGAACCTGCTGCTGGCCTTTGCGATGCTCACAGTGGCCCAGGCCACTAGCGGAGAGCAAAGCCGGGCGACAAGAAGTCGGGTTGCGCCTGCCACGGATGTTGAACTTTGGATGGCAGGCCAAAGTACCAGAGCGGAGCAGATGCAGCAAGCTACGCAACGATGGATACTTGATTTGCCCTTGGAGCATTCTGCGGGTCAAGCGGAGATCCCTGACCACTGGGCGCAACCTCCACCCCCAGTGGCCAATAACCAGCTGGCCCAGCGACAAGCGATCCATATCTCAATCTGGGTTGCAGCGCCGTACTACGAGGCGGAAACCATCGATGTTGGGGTGGCCTTTGCGCTAACAATGGACCGCCTCCATGATGTGATCGAGTGGAACACGCTGAGGATCCCGGAGTACATCAACCAGTTTACCCCGGCGTACCCGCAGATCAATGAGGACTTCGTGTGCTATGTTGCCAGCCCGCCCTGGCTATCGGCTGTTCACAAGTTCTGCCTGCTCCTTGACTGTACAAGAGCGGGAGGCACGGCCTATGCCATCTACTGTGAGGCCCCGGTTACCAAGAGGATCATCCTGGACCAGGTGTCCCTCGATGATGTAGCTGAACTGGAGGTGTTCCTATTTGGGCAGCTTCAGCCTCTGGGAGATCTTGATAGACGCGAGCCTATCATGGGGGGCACTGTTCAAGTGCTGCCTCGAGGAGTCCCGTGTGAATGGGCAAGCGACATCGATGAAAGACTACAGGATGAGAGAAGATGGCGACCGGACACAGACCAACCTGGCCCACTTCCTGGAAGGCATTGTATTTACCAGGGAGCCTCTGAACAAATCATTGTCCCGGTCAATGGCGAGGAAGATGATGGCTTCCATCTTGAGGCGGGAATAGAAGAACTTGGCCTTGAGGAGAACAGCTGGGCTATGGTTCCGGCGACTGTGCCCCAGCACCTGGCCCATGGGGGCAAACAGGTGCACAATCTTATTGCCATTGTCGAGGAGTCCAACACCCCTCGACTTGGAGTGACCATGGCCTTCCTTGACCTCCGCGGCCTGGCGTTCTTTCCACAATGGATGGCGACCCTTATGCCTACCTGGAAGACATCCAGTTCCCAAACATGGAGGGGTGGCAGTTTGTGGTCACAGGCAGAGACCCAATGGGGGAGGACAACCACATCCGAGTTCATGATGGCGAACTCCTGACATTTCACCTTGAACTTGCCGAGCCGAGCCCAAGATCCGAGGAAGGACAAAGTGAACAAGGTGAAGAGTCGGATAGTGACGACGATAGCTCGGACGGTATGAACAACCTACCGAGCTCGGACCCGGACGCCCCGCCACCAGAACCGGGAGAACCTCCACGTGGACCACCGCCACCAACCCCGGTAAATGCGCCACCCGATCGAAGCAGGTCACCGAGAAGAGACAACCGAAGGCACGGGCGACAGCCACAAACCATCAGCCTGCACGAGGAGCTTCACCAGAACCTCCAGGTGTATGACCTCACTAAGAACACTCTTCCATGGCCGCACAAATTGAGCCAGCTCTGGCCCATGTTGTGCCCGTGGGACCCGAAGTGGATGCAGTGCTGCCTGGAGGGTGTCCAGTTGCACCCCAACGCGGCTACAGCGGTGAAGGAATCAGTGCATTGGGCCGATTTGTTGCCATATGCAGCCCAGGGACAAGGTGAGTTCCACTTATACACCGACGGATCTGCCAATGAAACATTGCGGCAGAGTGGTTATGCGGTGGTGGTGCTGTTCCGTATGGGAATGGCAGTGGCTATCCTGGGTTTACTTGGTGAACAGCTGATGGGCAATGAAGTGTCGGGATGGACAGCTGGAGAACATCTAGCCCTACACGCAGAACAGGTGGCCTTGGCTACGGCGATGTTATGGGTGCTTCAGATGCGAGCGGTGATACCGCATCTGTCCAGTTTCATCCACATCGACTGTATGGCAGCTGGACATGCTGCGACTGGAACCTGGGATCCTATGAATTTCATGGGGTCACAGACACGTGATCTGGAATTGCTGATGCAAGAACTGCCTGGGGTGAATCTACAAACCCAGCACGTCAAGGGCCACTCCGGCCACGAGTGGAACGAGTTGGCTGACTCCATTGCCAAGGCTGCCATGAAGGGTAGCAAGCAGTTTGCCACCCCCCCTGCAGATGTGGTAGCTGCATTCCTGGGCACTAACCTCACATGGGCCGGTTTACAGCTCTCGGCGATGAAGACGGGGGCCCTCAATGTGGACCGTGGGGGAATCAGTTGGAGTGATGAACCTTTGCCGAGGTCGGGGATCACACCACAGCAGCTGATACCTACGGTTGGTGTCCATGATGTGAAAGGTGATGTGGAGTTCAGGCTTTCTGCTTGTTCTTTCAATTTACAAGGCCTGGGCAACCATGCCCGCTACATTGAAGAACAATGTGAACGAGAAGGTTATGGTCTGGTCTTCTTGCAAGAGACCAAACAACCAGGCGGAATCTGTTCCAGCCGCCGGTACCTCCGATTGTCCACCGATGGATGCCGCCATTGGGGAGTGGCGGTTTGGCTTCGCAAACAAGGTGGATTCATCGAGCGCAACAACCAAGGTGTCGCCCCTGACGAGGCTAACATTACTGTGGTACACGAGTCCCCACGGATGTTGGCACTACGAGTCGCGCTCGATGGCAT